TACGCCTAAAAGAAAGAAAATACAAAAATCAGAAAACGATGGTTATGTTAGTCCTAGTACTGGCAATACTCTTCATGTACTGGAAAACGCTGAATACGGATTTGCAACTCCTATCCGCAAATATTATAATTTACGAAAAGAAACCCCAGTAACTCCGAACGTATCAAATCTTACAAGCAGGACTAGTTCTATTAGTGACATTTCATGTGCAAAATCCTTATTATGCCCACTATCCAACGAGGAAATCTGTACAATATATAACACCCAAACGCAGAATAATCAAAGTTCATTGACAAATTTGAATATTTCTACAATTTATGGTAAAGATTTAAATACAGATGCATCTAATAACAATTATACTCCCAACCCTTCCGAGAAAATCTGTGCAATATATGACACTCAAACGCAAAATGAACAAAGTTCATTAACATATTTGAATATTCCTGCAAATTCTGCTAAAGATTTTGAACCCGATTCATCTGATGATAGTTATGCTCCCAACTCGTCTGACCTAGAAACTGATTCTTCTTACTCCGACGATAGTGATAGTGATGATAGCGTAATAACTTACTATGAAAACAGTTCTGAAACCGAATTAGTTCAAATACTTGAAAATACTCAATGTACAGAAAACAATAATTTTGACGAGTGGGAAGACATTAACGATACAAAACCTGATTTCGATGAATTCACAGATAATTGTAGACCAAACATTCCGGATAATACTATAACGCCAGCAGATTTTTACAGTCTATTTGTAACGGATGAAATTATTGAGCAAATGGTAATAAACACAAACAATTACGCAGAAGATCTTATTAGTAATCTAAGTAATCTTAAGCCTAAATCACGCTTGCGAGCCTGAACTCCTACAACTCCAGAGGAGATGAAAAAATTTTTAGAAGTGCTACTGGCGATGGGTCTTGTAAGAATACCACGTTTAAATGATTACTGGTCGAAAAGAAACATCTACAATAATAAATACATTAGTTCAGTTATGAAAAGAGATCGATTAACGAAAATCATCTATAACAGATAACAGTTAGTAATAAAATAAAGTTGATCTCGATATTTCTGTACTTATGTTATTTCCCATCACTAAAATAATCCCAATTATACCATTACCTAGGTGCGGTAATGGGTCGATAAGCCTTATGTTTGTTTTTCTGTATATTTTCTAAATTAGCCATGGGAGCAATTTGCGACGCTGGTATAAGATAGGCTTAGATTTTCTCAATAACCTAGTTAAAAAAAATATTCAATATCAAAAGTTTTCGCAGAGTTATTAGAGTTTGAAGTGACCAATATCTTACCAGGTTTATTGACCCATTGACGCACCGGTGAAAAGTTTAGGTTTAAGGCCTATAGACCTGGTAACGCACTGGGGGAATAATGTCTAAAGTAGTTGCCGCAGCGAACGTGTTAAGTCGTAATTATTCATAACGATATTCCTATATAAAGTTGCTACTTAAGTCCGTAAGCCCCGGACGTTTTGGTAGTATATATTATATTTCTTGAGGTAAATGTTTTCGCAACAGGATAAACACTAAACTAACTTGATAAGTAATAGTAGTAGTAGTAGTAGCAACTACAAATAATTTACGTTGGGGCATATAAGAAAATAATTTCCTATTAATTAGTAAAATGCATAAATATTTCATGATATACGCGTACAAGTGAGACACAAAAGTATAAGCAATGGCGCGCAAGCAGTGAAGAAGGTATTTTTGTGGAGTAATAGCAATTATTCTCTTACATTCCAAAAATAACGCGAAAATATGACATGTGTATAACTTACAGTAAATGTATCCGGTGTATTCTGAGCGACAGATCAAATGATACAGTAGGTTAATATATGTGTTATTAATTTTGTGTATAATATGCCAAGTATACATAAATAATTCCAAACATTCGTACAAATAATAGTAAATAAGTACTTGTAATATATAAAATAAATAACATAGCACAAATGTAACAAAACATCTATGACAAGAAAAAGAAAAATTAAAAAAGAGTATTATAAAATCTGAGCCCGTGAGATTCGATATGCAAAACGTTACTTTAAGCACAACAGCATAATGGGCAAAATAGAGATAATAATAAAAAACACAAATAGCAAGAACTTGCCCATTTGATAAGCGGACAATAGCGAGGTGCGAGTAAACAATTAATGAATAGACGATTCCAACGCTTCTCAAACTTTGCGTATGCACAGTAAGTAAACTGAACAATAACTTGAGAAATCCTAAGCAATTTTTCTTAAATCCAACTCCGTTTTTACTATATGAACAGGTGATGTTGTGTTTTTCCGTACAAGGATTTTGCAGTTCTTCACCCAAACGTACGAAAAATCCCGCTCCTTGGCCAAAGCCCTTGTTTTGTTTAATAAGAATTTGTTTTCAAGCGTTAATTGGTCGTTGATAAAAATTCTGTTAGTACCGTTAAGATCTATATCCAACGGCGTAAGGGATTTACTTTTTCTCGCTGCTGCAACAAAATTGTCTCTGAGGTATCGATTGTGCAAAGATACGATTATGCTTTTATTGTTTTTATCGTTGCGGGAAGGAACTCTAGCAATGTAATTAATGTTGTTATCGCTAATATTGAAGTCAATTTTGGTTGCTATTTTAGATACAATGGTAAATAGATTTTCCGTGTTAGTTATAGGAACTCCTTTGATTTCAATATTGTTCAATCGTGACCGCTGCTCCCCATCATTCGACACCCAATATGAATAACATTGTATTTCAATGTGACATAGTTTACAGCATAGCCATTTTAATTTTTTTGTAAAGTTTATAATTTATTTGCAGCTGGAAGAATAGGAAGTTCTGTACAATTTTAGGTTTCGTGATACTGATTTTAATTGCTTTTTCAATTGGTTTAGATGCCGTTTCGATAAATCTACTGCAAGTATGATTTTTGCAATGTTACAATGTACAATTTTTAAGCATTTTTAATATGAAAAGCATTGTAACTACCGCTACAATTGGGTCACGAAAACATTTGAAGGGTTTTTTCGGTGATTATTAGTGTAACTTATTTTACAAATTGACAAATAGGAAATCTTTGATCAATGTTACATTGGGATAGAAAGACATGGTAAGTAGTATGTGAGAGATAATAAAAATCAATTTATAATATTTTATTCATTTTATTTTTATTATTCATATTTGGTCTTCAATGTCGGAATTATTTGAAACGGTGTTTGAGTGTGGCAAGTTGTATAAAAATGTCTATATTGCTCCGGAATTGCACCGCTGGAGCATAAGCTGCACAAGTCTTTGTACTTGTTTTGATTGATTGGGTGTAAGTTTTCATAGACTCTAACTAAATTATGATCCCACAACGCAGCCAAAGATTTATTTATATTTTGACGTCTAGTCTTGACTTTGCGGTAGTCCAAATCTATCCAATTTAGTTGATCGCTGTAAAAATCATTTTAAAACATTATAATGTTTGGCGATTCGAAATTAATTTTAATATGGTTAACTTTTGACCACATAATTTTTTTTGTCATTGTCCAATTCCCAATTGGGAACTAAATTTAACAATGACTTAAAATCAAATATTTTATTTTGAGTGACCTCGTTCACGACATAGGGTTTGCCTGTAATCTTAGCACAACGTATTAGTGTGTACCATTGTTGTGGTACATAAACAACTTGGTTTTTCTTACGTCGCTCTATAAGAGTATGCATTGAGTCCCCTTCTGATTGGGAATGCCCAACTTCAAAGAAGTTGTGTGTAATAACTACACCAAATATTTTTGAGGCGTAAACATACATTAGAAATACAATTCGGTTTCTATTTTGGCCACCACAGCAGTCTGAATAGAAACGAAATTCTCTAATACCTTCGGCAGCCTTCTTTTTGATAAAATCGAACAAGAAGCTAGCAATTTCGTTAGGGCCTTTTCTTCCAATGCATTCATCCCACACATAACAGTGCCCTTCAGCAGATCCTATGTCGAAAATTGTAAAATTGAAAACATGAAATTTTCTCTTGTAATAGAAGGTTGACACATCAGACTGTGGAGTAGTTAAAATTTTTTGTAAATCAAAACATGCAGTTAACAATTTTTTTTAGATTGTTTGGCTTCTACCTTATCGTTGTCTTTTATATGACGTATGATAAATTTATTTGCCATATGTAATGCGTAATCACGTGCTGTGATTTCTTTTTCTAACTCTGAAGCTTTTTCATGAACCTCACATTTCAAACATTGATCTTTCTTTGGCTTGAAGAATTCTATATTAAATTCTTTATAAAAGATCTGCTGTTCTTGGGTAGCTTTCGTATCACTTGAATTATTTTTAGTCATCCATTCAATGTAAAGAGAGTATAGCTTAGGAAAAGTAAGTGATTCTTCAAAATAAAGTTTGGATGTTCTTTGCCTTACGTAGTGTGATTCTTTGACAGGAATTGATTTATTTTGCTGGCGAGCAGAAATCTTAATATTTTCATTTATTGTGTTCCCCCTATTGCTATGCTTACCACGCCTATCGTTTGTAATGACTTCTTCATTATTTTCATCCATTTTTTTGAACATCGTCGTTATCCACATATCTGTAATATTGAATGAGTCTAAAAACATTTTTTTTACACACTCTGATTTTTTCTCCAAGAACAGGTAAGCAATACTCATAAGTGTAATGGCGTCTGGAATTAATGTTGTTTAGTTGTACTGTTTTACGCTGGACTCTGGTTATAAATCTAGCTAAATACTCAACCTGTTTGTCATGATTACCCATTGCCCAAAATTGTGTGAATAATTGTTTTCGGTGATCATTAGATATATTTGTGTGACATTTCCTTTTGCAATCTTTATCTATTTTACATCCGGGTCCCAACGCTCTCTCTTTAACTAATTTACCTTTTTTGTTAGTATATTCTAAACCTGAATTCCGAAGTGTTTTTAATTCATTCATTTTCCAGTTTTGTGGATTTCTTTGCCTTTTCCTACCCGAAGTTTTTTTTTGGATATACTCTCTTCTTTGTCATGCCTGCCCCTGCCTGCCCCCCCCCACATTATTATCATTTTCATGACTGCTAGCTGTACCAGGTAGAAACACATTTTGAGGCGAGGAGTCAATCAAACGTGGATCTAATGGTATCTCCGGTTCGTGCCTATCCGCACTGCACGACGGATTGTCATTGGTGAGTATACCAGGTAAAGCCGGCTCCTGGTGCAAAGTTCCAATGATAACTGGAGCTTCTAAGAGACTAGAACTACTATGCGGATACGCATTTTGATGCGAGGAGCCGATAAAACATGGCTCTGCTGGTATCTCCGGTTCTTGGCCTATCCGCGCTGCACGACGGATCGTCATTGGTAAGTATACCAACTAAATCTTGATCCTGGTAAAAGTTTTTGGAGCTTTTAAAAGACTAGAACTACTAGGTAAACACACATTTTGATGCGAGGAGGCGATCAAACATGGTTCTAGTGGCATCTCTGGTTCACGCCTTTCCGGGCTGCACGACGGATCGTCATTGGTTGATTATACCACATAAAGCGGGCTCCTGGTGCAAAGTTTCAGTCATAACTGGAGTTTCTAAGATACTGGAACTACTAGGCATAGGCAGATACACATGTTGATGCGAGGAGCCGATCGAATATGGATTTAATAGTATCTCTTGTTCCCGCTTTTCTGGGCTGCACGACAGGATCTCATTGGTGAGCAAGTCAGGTAGAGCGGGTCATGACTGGGCTTTTATTGATTGATCTTATTGATAATTTCGACCCAACAATATTAATATTTTCAATTAATTGAACCGCAGCACAATCAGAGTCTGAAAAAATAAATGTTTTTAAGCTAAGTAGACAAAAGAGCTGTACATAAGAAGTTAATACTGGTGCCAATTGTGACAGGCAGTTTTTTTATATTAAATAAGCTTGAAGTTCTTTTCTTAGCTTAAACATTAGGTAAGGGTTGGCACGAATCTCAATGTTATCATTATTATAAATGAAGTAGAATGTAGATTCAACAAGTGGTAAAAAGTGCATGCTATAGCTAGGTACAAAGGTGATGAAAGTACCTAAAACAGAGTTGTAATTTTGGTGTACAGGTCTTGAACTTGAAGCTAGCTCTACACCCAAATCTCTAGGAGTATTTAGTGAATTAATTTCCACGTTATGTTCCTCTGCCTCTTGACAATTACTAAGTATTTCAGTGCAATCACTATCTGCGAAAAATTTTTTTTTTTTTTATATATATATATATATTGATCAAACCATTCAAATTAATTTAAGTAATACAAAAATTTTCTATAAAATATGTGTCAATGAATTAAAAAGTTTAGGTAAGTAATATTCCATGTGCCTAAGTAATAAATATTATTTGTAGGCAGTTTAAAGTTACACGTACCAGTATACTGTACTCTTGAGCTTTGAGGCTGAGGGGGTAGATATTCGTCTGATAAATCATCAGCTGAAAAATCACCATCATTATCGTCTTCTGAACAGGCGTAATGAATGGGACGATTACGCCGCCGTCTAATTTTCTTTTAAAGTTTATTAATTCGGCACCTATAAAAAATAAAAGATTAAGTAGTTAGATATGAGTTATTACTGGATAGGGACATAACAAATAAAGGTAAGAATAACTTTTTAACAACAAGAATACCAACCATTGAGTAATTCAAATTGACATCTGTTGCGTTTCTTATAGATATTCATTTGATTTGAAGTGTCGTCAATTGGAGTATCCGTACTTTCTGTGAATCAGATAATCATAAACTAATTTTATTGTATGTTCACTATTCATTAGGTTTAGGTGTTCAACTCAAGTCTAACTAGCGAAGTAACAAAAGTAAACACAAATCAAATCAAAACAATTGAAAATTTTAGGTTATAAATAAGATAGCGTGTAATATCTATGTTTATTACTTACCCATTGATTCCACAACTGAGACATCTTTTTTTGCGAAGGAGACTCACCATAAGCTTCCCACGAGACTTCATTATCACAATAAATTTAATCCACAAACAGTTACTATCACTGGAACAAAACGTCCACTGAGCCGACACCTGACAGTATTGGCGGTTATGTTTATGAATAAAAATATTGCTCGCTAACAATAACATGGCATATAATGATACTATTATATTCAAATGACGAACTCGAAACTTAGTCTCGATGTCAACACCGCAATTTTATTTACAATTATAACGTTATCAAATATTTAAGAAGAAAAACATTGTAATTTAAAATTACAACGTGGTCAAAGTAAAACAGTCTAATAATTTAAATGAATAATATTGTATGTCCATTTGCAATGAATTTAACACAAAGAAACAATTGTTACTCAAACTTTTGTGTATTGCAACTTCATCTTTAATTATACTTCAACGGAAACACAGTACATTTTCAATTACAATGAAGTTATTCCATTTCACAAAAGTACTTCTTATTGTCATACAGATACGGTTCAAAGACCGAAATAAAAGTCTGTTCTTGCTGAATTCATATGACATAAATAAGTACCAACGTGTAACTACAGTTACAATATTGTTCATATTGGGTGTCGCATTGAAGACTGCTTCCAATTTTTGCAACCGCTGTTCTAGGTGGGTTACACCTTCCTTGGTCTTCTGAAGTGTTTGAATTTCACGATCTACCTCAGCTAACCTAGCTATAAGCGTGTCAACCGAAGCGTGAACGTAGTCCAGCGAATCTTTCACAACCGACAACTCACATTTAATCGTTTTAAGATCGGCCAAATCAGCCTGAATATTTTTTACCGAATCTAGTAACTTAGGAAATGATGACATTTGTTCAGAGAGTCCACGTAACTCACCACGAATACCGTCGAGATCACTTGGAGTGCAAAAATTGGAACTACCAGGAGCTGGACTTCCGGAGCTAGTATTTTTACAAGTATTATATTTCCACGTTGCTTTCCTATCGCCAAGTTTTCGAAAACCAATCTCTGTTACTCCAGCACACGGAATGTCGTATTGCTTCAAACACAGAGTAAACTGAACGCCATCTCTAGCTTCCATATTACAAAGGTGGCAAGTAAACATTTTATTAAAAAGAAACGTTTGAGTATCGTAGACAGTTGCAACCTGCAACAGCGCGAGACAATATTGAACGAATGTACGTGCGTACTGTTTACGATATGACAACTAACTGTGAACTATAGCCAACTACAAACAAAAGCTACAGATGTTAGAGGTGATCTCTAAGGAATCAGATGACATGTAATCTGTAATTATATATTGGCTCTGTCACAGAAATAGTAATAATAAGACTACTAATTTAATTCCAAAAAATTCTAGATTACTGGCACGACTGGGGATTAGATTACAAGCGGCTGCCAAGACCACACTAGCAGAGAATGATCGTATAGCAGCATAATACTGTGATAATACCACAAGAGTAAAGATACAGACCAGAGGGGAAGCTACATACAAACGGCTCGCTGCGACTATGCCCGTACATAGCGCAGAGATGTGTGCGTGAACTCTCACCGACAGGTTCGCCGATGCTCCGTCGGGGTACAAACCGGTTTGAACCGGCTCAGTCAGAGTATCCAAGAAAGGGCTGTGTTAGTCGTGCGCATTTAAATAATTGGAAGAACAATACATATATCGTAATTTTATATACAATATGTAACGTAATTAACGCACACTCTCAGACACCCCAATTAGTATATTATGTTATAATCATAATACATACATTGAATTTTTAGCTAAACATTTTTATGCACTGATTATTTATCAAATTAGTTATACTAATTCCGGAAGAATGTTATGGTCACAATACAAATCCACGAACGAACGAAGACTTTAAACGTGCTTGAAATAAAGTTCATTTTTCTTTATTTTTATTGAGTGACAGAATTAGTAGTAATACAAATAAAAATGCACTCTTAAAAGTCTTATTGCCTTAAGTTACGGTCCTTTAAATTTTTTTTTTAAATGTACAGATTTAGTGTAATTTACGTAGTTTAAATTATTTTTGGGATAAAAAATTACCTATATTAAAAATGATAGGAAACAATTCAGTAAACGATTCTGAACAAACTACTTTCTCAAAGTGCGTTAGTTAATTGGAATATATATATATTCCAATTAGACTTAAGTTTATAGATTGTTTATTATAAAATAAGACATTATTGAACTATATAAGTAATTAATTAGTATTCTTTATAAATTAATGCCTAATTTTTATATATACTATGTATAAAAATCAAGCGAGAATAATACAACAATTGCCGGACAGTGGTGAAGGTGGTGTTAGTGGTAGCAGTGCTAGTATTGGTGATGGTGATTGTAGTATCGTTGATGGTGGTGGGTAGTGGACCACCACCACAACACCACTGTCACTAATACCATCACCACGACCAGCATCACCACCACAGTCATTTCCACCACTACTACCACCATCAACACCGCAACCAGCGCCACTGCTCACCACCACGATCACAGCCATTACTACCCCCACCTGATTCTTTGTACTGATGAATACATCTTACAAAAATGATGTTAATAGAACGATATACCTAGGCTGTTTAAGATATTCCCGATGAATGGAATATTTACACTGTTTCTGTTATATTAAAATCTTTTTATTGAAAACTCCTTGGTTTTAAAAATCTAATACCAGTTTTTTTATTTAAAAAAAGATTCTCGGTCTAGTCCCAAGGTTTTGTCAAACTTGTTTAGTCGTTGACAAAATGGAATTGACTCGAGAAAATTCAAGAGCGATGATTTATTATGACGTCCGAAAAGGTTTAACACAAAAACTGTTTGTTGCAGACCGGATGATTTCTGCATTTGGTGATGAAGCCCCACCTAAAACCACAATTTATCGCTGGTTTGCTGAATTTCAACGTGGACGTATTAAGCTCAGTGATGATCCCCGTCAAGGTCGTCCAAAAACTGCAGTCACCCAAGAAAACGTTGTTGCTGTGCGTAAGCTGATTGAGGAATGTGACATACCGTGAAATTCAAGCAACTTTAGACATGAGTCAAATACAAATAATCTTGCATGAAAAATTAGGTGTAAAAAAGTTGTTTTCCCGATGGATACCGCATTCGCTCTGTGAAGAGCAAAAAGCGGCTCGCGTTACTTGGTGCATCAGAACTCTCGAAAGATTCGACGCAGGATCCTCAAATGCTGTATACAACATCGTATCAGGTGAGGAATTCTGGATATACGCGTACGAACTCGAAACAAAAAACCAGTCACGAGTTTGGGTGTGCGAAAATGAGTTAAAGCCAACAAAAATTGTTCGTTCACGGAGCGTTGCAAAAAAATGGTGGCCACGTTTGTCTCCAAAACCGGCCATGTTACGACTATTCCTCTTGAGGGACAAAGAACGATTAATGCAGAATGGTATGCTAGCATTTGTTTGCCACAGGTCGTTTCTGAACTCCGTAAAGAGAACTGCAACCGCCGCATCATCCTCCATCACGACAATGCGAGTTCTCACATCGCACACAGAACAAGAGAGTTTTTAGAGCAAGAAAACATAGAATTATTAGACCATCCGCCGTACAGCGCCGATCTAAGCCATAATGATTTCTATACTTTCTATAAAATAAAGAATAAACGTGGACAGAAATTTTCATCACTTGAAGAAGTTGTGGACGCCTACAAAACAGCCATTTTGGAGACCCCAACTTCCGAACGGAATGGTTGCTTCAGTGGTTCCATCTTATGGAAAAATGTGTCCAATTTCGCGGAGAATACTTCGAAAAGCAATAAATATAAAATTAAATAAAATAACTATAAAATAAAAATAATTTTATTTTTAAATAAATTAAATTTTACATTTTTAAATAGTAATGTTATGTCACTTCCTTGATTCCCGAAATTTTCAGTAATATGAAGCGAAGGGATTTGCGCGGTTTTTAATTATAAATTGCACATATTTTCTCAATATTCGATGATTTACCCTACAGTAAGATTCCATAAGACATAATACTATGAAAATTAGCAAAATATACAATTTTTGCAATTTTAATTTAAGGTACACTAAATAGACATATTGTTAAATTAATTCAAGTAACAATGAAATCACATTTTGTTTTATATTATGTAATAGTGTTTTTTTATTTAAATTTTTCACATTCATCAGGTGACAAAACTATCAAAATAGGTAAACATTTTCGACGTTGTTAGGAAGCTTCCCCTCTGGTCCTTACTCTGTGATAATACTGTGTTAATACTGTGCTTTTGTATTGACGTTTTTACCGGTAAGGCATTTCATCTTGGCCATCAGCGATGGCAATGCATTTTGAATTTTAATTGAGAATAGGTGCCGATTTATACTTCGAAGAGTCACGCTGCAGCTATATTACAGCGCGAATTGCTGGTATAATGGTAGCACAAGTTGCTCGTCTCAACCGAGGAGGACTTACGCTCTCACAGAATACCAGAGTAAAATAGCAGCTTAATTATGCAGTGCTTCGTATGTTGAGCGTAAAAAACCGAAGCCCCTTTTTACAGGAAACGATGCAATACATCTTAGTTCTCGTGGGTAACGCATTTGCGTGTTGATTCTCGACTGAGGATAATGTATATGTCTATAAGCCACAGCATCCACTTACCATTAGGTGGACCGTGTGTTCGTTTGTCATACCCATTCTAGAAAAAATAACATCACGTGCAGCCGCCCATGATACCCCCCCCCACCCCCGCTTTTTTCGAGAGGTCGAATTTCCTCAATTAATATTCAAAGTTTCGGAACAAAGGGTTTACTAATCCTACACGGCCTTAATTCGCTGATACATGACAGTATTAAAAACATTAATATCGCTCAAACTCACATAAATCTTAACTGTGCCTTGTTGAACTTCCGGATATTTATGCGGATTGTCATTTCCCGCTAAAAATTGGATTAATTTTCTCCAAGGCCCTTCAGTAAAATGTAAATAATGCCACAGAGAAATGTAAATCCGACCGCATAAATCTCGTAAAGCCTACGAAAAACAACCTTCCACTTACTGTCACTTGGAGGAGATAACGTGGAATTTACATTACTTAGGATTACGTGGAACGCCTTCAGGCCAATGTTTTATTTCTTATAGATATTATGTTTGTCTCCTATTTTTCTCATTCAATAAATCAAATGAAAATAATTAGCAAATAATTTAAATAATGGTATCCTTACATAAAACCCTGTGATGGATAGCGACCGTGAGATGAGATAAAGGGAGTCTCTAACGGGAGATGGGCAGCAGCATCTTCCTGATAACAACTTAAAGAAATAAAAAACTGCGGTTGCGAATCGTGGCAACTGTGGCAAAATCCCTCTTATCAGGCAATCTATAGAAAAAGCCTATGTCCAGTATAGAATTTTTATAGTCTGTAATGGAATGGACTTAAACAAAACAGAACTTTCACAAAAATTCTTGTAGAAAAAATCTCAAAGTGGCTAGTACACTACCAACCATAGAATACTATAACACACAATAGAATGGCTGTCAACCTTATTTTGTACAAAGATCGGTGTCGCCGGGAGTACACATACAGGCAATTACGTCGTATTATCACTACTACAAACCCGATACAGTGAGTATTAACAGACTGAGCGAATCTACACATTTTAGACTTTTGATTAACGTTTTTGACACATCAATACTTCTTTATTTTTGTTTCTGATATTTACAAAATATAAATAGTTTCGGTTTACTGTTTGTAGAATATGTCTCCTTTATTTAAATTCCATTTCCTGCTGTTCTTTCGACACGTAGTTATTGCACAATTTGCCATTTTAAATAATTTTCATGTAGCAACGCTTGACACAAAAATGAAAACGATTATTATTAGTGACATGTTAGTGGCTACTCGGACTCCGCCCACTCCCCCGTCCTATTATGTATGTATTATGGTATTCTATGATACAAACTGTGTATCGTCACTTGCTGTAGCTTCATCCATTATCAATATTTTATTGAATCGAAGCTCAGCACGCGCTAATCTTTAATCATTGATTATGATGATCAATTTAAAACTGCGATTTTAAGTTTATTCGTTAAATACAATTTAT